GAAAGCACATCTCCTGCCACAACATGTGCGTCATGGGGATGAGCAGGATCGGGTGTCTCTTTGGTCTGTTGTGTCTAGGTCTGTGCCTAGCCCATCATAAGATTCCAATCAGTGTGTGGTGATGAATGAGTGACTGACTAATGAGGCCTTTGAAAGTCTCCCTCTGGGTTGGAAGCCACTCAAGCTGGTGAAGTGAAACCTTTTCTTCTTGGCCCACCCACACATCCTGCTTCCTTCAGGCTCTTTTTGGCTCTGTTTGAGGCAGCATTTGTCCAACTCAAACCACTTTCCTTTCTGATGCCCCAGGCTGACTTTTGGAGGTTGAGAGGGAATCTATTCTTTTAGTGTGGTGTGTCATGACCAAACAGGAGGACTCCCTATTAGTTTCTTTTCCCAATGCAGCTACAAAACACCCAAACAAGAATCAACTTAAGGGTATACTTTGACTTACAGTTCCAGGGACAAAATTCATCATAGTAAAAATAGGAGGCAGCTGGTCACATGCAGAGGGTCGTCAGGAAGTAGAGAATGAACAGGAAGTGGATCAAAACTGTTCTTTTCCTCAACAAGGTGCCACCCACTTAAGGTTCCACAACTTTCCCACCACCAGATAGAGACCAGTGTTCAAACACATGAACCTAAAGGGGACATTTCACACCTAAGTAACTACAGGTTCCTTTCTGACACATTTTCCCTGTGCACTCTGGTCTGGCATAAGAGCTTATAAAAATGATAAAAGGCTTTTCTTGCAAAGTCTATTACTTAGGGGTCCCTGGAGAACCACAGTGGATTTCATGGTGAATGTTGTGTATAGGACTTGCCTTGCTTAGTTGACCATAGGTCTTTGGAGTCTTTTTTTTATGTAGGCTGGTGAGTTGGCTCAACAGATAAAGGTACTTTCCAACAAGCCTGATGATTTGAGTTTGTCCTGGGGTGGAAGGTGAGTTAACTTCCACAAGTTGTACTCTGATTTTCACATGTGAGCCATAACACTTGTGTTCCGACACAGATGGAGAGACAGAAAGATTGACACATACCCACAAGAAACTCTTGTTATACCCATAGTAAAACTCTTAAAATATGTGTATCTAGTATATTGTACGCACTGATGTGTGGGTGTATTTTAGTGGCAGTATAAATGTCCATATAACAGTGCATGTGTAGAAGTCAGAGGACAAGCTCTGGTGTTGGTCCCCACCTTCCACTTTGTCTGGGAAAGGGTCTTTTGTTGTTCTTCACCATGTATGCCAGACTAACTGGCCCACAAGCTTCTGGGAATTCTTCTGTCTCTGCTTCCTATCTTAGGGTAGGAATGTTGGGATTGTATTACTGCACCTGGTGTTACATAGACTTGGAGATCTGAACGCTGGTCTTCATGCTTGCAAAGCAAGAACTTCAATCAGCAAGTTACTTCCCAGCCCCAGAGTCTTAAAGAGTTAGTAAAAGCTCTAGGGCTGAAGGCAGAGGCTTGAGAATCTTTATCAACAGCTCTCATGGATCACAGTTTTCTGATCAGTATCTACTTGGAAAACAATACCATGGCTGCAGATGGCCAATTCAAAGAAGCATAGGATTTGGAGCAAAGATGGACCAATTTCCACAGCAGCACAAGGAAATAAAGGCTCCAGAGAGCTCACGTCTTCTCCTTGTCCTTTATTCCTGACTGTAGCTTGACCACCCTGAAACAGGAGTGCTCAGTCAAACCACAGGATATGCTGTTAGTTTTCTTAGGAGGAACTGAGAGATACTTAGGACCTACTCAGTCCTGTCCACCTTGCTGGCCTGGCCCACATGCTGGGCTGTCTTGGCAGGAGATTGTTAACAGGCAAATGTTCATACTACTTCAAAGAACCACCCTCCAGGTGCTGAAGACGGCTTTTCTGATGCTCATGCTATATCTCTGTTTATTTTTGCAAGGCTCCCAGCTGCTGTGGTGATGATATTTAAATGAGTAAGTGCTCTATTCATCTGCCGATTTCAGAGGATGTTTGCCAGCTGTGTATGGCAGCCAACCTTGGGGTACTTCTGAGACTGGTGTTGTTATATTCAGAGACTTGGTTCTCAAGGGCTGCCCCAACATCTGGGCTGAGAGATCTTTCATTCACCAAGGATCTATTCTTTAAAAGGGGGAGCCATAGTCAACAACCTGGACATTATATATCCCAAAGTAAGGTTCTCCACAATTACTATTCTGTTTCCAAGCTCCAATTTTGCCAAATGGGGTATTGGATAAGAAGAAGAGTAAACAGACTTTCATCCTTCACCTGGGGACTGAACTTAGAGCTTCATGGGTGGTGGTTAAGTGCTTGGTCATTGAGCCACAAATTTAATGAGTGCCCATTGACTTTTGTAAGTCACACTTCACTTGTACCTCATAAAGCTGAGTTACCTTACTTGCCCAAGCAGAAGAGTGGTAATAATTTATAATTCTGGAACTCCATAAAGAAATTTCTAGAATTTTCTTTTAGGGGAATTTATTTTTTCTGTTGTTATCTCTGTTCCCAACCAACCCTCCATTCTTCAGGCCCTCCCTTACTGCCCATCTCCCACCAGGCAGCATATTTTGTCTTCTTACCTCTGGTATATATGTAGAATCTATATCATGCTACCATTCTGTTCAAGCCACCATCCCCTGAACCTGACCATTCTTGTTGTCTCTCCCTGTACTTTTAAAAGTCAAGTGGTGTCACTCTCCTGCCAAGTCTGTCTAGGTCTCCCTATCCTTTACAGAGTGAAGCTCCAAGTTCTCCCCATGATGACTAAGGTCACCCATGGTATGTAACCTGTTACTCTTCTGATGTCATTGCCTGCAGCTCTATCTGTCTTACTGGCCTCAGAGCACCAGGTGTTTTCCTACCACACTGTCTGGATACATGTTCCCTTTGCCTGAGACACTGTTCCCTGGGAGGAGCATGTGGCTTGCTCTCTAGCCTCCTTCAACTCTCTGTTTGCATATCTTCAAGTCCTTCCTTGACTACTCTAGTACATCTGTGTCTTGTGCCCCAATCCAGTTTTAAAATACTCATTATGCTTCCTTCTCATCATGTCTCAGTATATTATCAAGTTCATTATAGAGCATTTGTTGTTTATGGTTGGTCTCTCCCCTTTAGAATAGGAAGTGCACGGGACACAGGAATATTCTTGCTTCACCTCATCTGTGTTTTTCACTGATACATTCCAAGAACCTAGAATAGCTTCCAGGAAATGCCAGTAGCAGATGCTCAACGAATATGGATTATGTGAATGAGGGAAACCTCTTATGGATCTCTCTTATGGACACATTCCAACATACACTAATTTTACTCCCCTTCTACTCTGCTCTTGTCCTTACTCTCCTGCCCACCTCCTATCTTCCTACCTTTCCATTTTGGCCAGGTGCTTCCTGGATATATGATCACCTAAACAAGCTACATGCAACCATCTGTGACATTTTCTCATCCACATCCGCATGCAGCTGCTCCCTGTAGTGTGTGGGCTTCACAGTGGAAATGATCTCACATCTATCCCAAGTTATCCTTTGACCTGACTACTCCACTCAGATACCCTCTTCAATTTCTTCATACAACCCACACTTTATCTCCCGGCTCTGATTCATGTCTGTGTTCTCTGGTTCTAGACTCCATTTTCTAACACAAGTTGGAAAACTTAGGACTACCTGCAACGTATAGCAAAATTTTTCTAATTATTTTGGAACTCCTGGATACTGCAAAGGGATCCAGATGATGGACTAGCTAAGGGCTATCAATACCAGATATAAGACCAGTGTGGGTGGTGCTCTGGGCCTCCACCTCCTGCATTAATATGCCCAGATCCTGATACTCTTCCTTCATTCATTGGGTTTGTACAAAATTTTATTGGTAGAAAGGATCCTGTCACTTATAAACAACAGTCCCATTCTGTCATTGCTGACTAATGCTCCTAAGCCTGGCATAAGGAGCCTCTCTGCTGACTGAGTCCTGCTGTCTTTTCCAGTCTTACCTCACTCTTTCCCTCCAGATATAGCCCCAGTGCACTGGAACCAAAGCTGATTACAAACAAGCTCTCTATGTCCATCTGTCTTTGCCGCTATTGTTCTCTCTATGTAGAATGCCTTTTCCCAGCAATTCATCCCTCATTTGACCACATCTTCCCTGCCCCCTTCAAGGTCCAAGTCACCTTTCTTTTGAAGTCTTCCCCCACCCTCTGGATAGAATTAATTGCTCCCTGCTCTAGGTCAACATGGCACTTCATTGCTGACCTCGATTATAGAACAGCCACATGAGCCTGGGATAACTCACCCATCTATCTCTGTAGCAAGACTGGCAGTTCCTGGAAGGCTGGGACTATAGCTCAGCCCCATTTGGAAAAAATTATTTCTCTAAAGCCTGTGCAAGGCCAGCACTCTCACAAGAGTGCACTGAATGACTTTGGGTATCCTTCAAGGTTCTAAAAAATCACATTGCAAAACTCTGAAAGGCCACCTTCATCTCATCTACCCCAGAATATATTTCTTGCCATATAATGGTAGTCTCCAGAGGCTGCCCAAGATAGTGTCCTATGTCTTAAATGTGGGGAAGTATAGACACATGATTGGTGAAGTTGGAAGACCCAGAGAGGCTAAGGTATGAAGTCAAGGCTTAGCAAAGATTCTATGTCCAGCCTCAAGATTCTGCCACCAGAGGCCATATGACGAAGAGTCTTTGGGGTTGGTGCTCAGTGTTGTGTGGGGTCTTGGTTTTTTGAACCTTTTATGATTTTGAGTAAGGTTATAACTAATGTCTGAGGCAGGGACAATAGGGTCTTGTCCTTGGTGTAGTTAGAAAAAGCCCATAGACAAGTGAACTAATTTATGGGGGTCTTTGGTGAAGGATTCAGTGGGAGACTCCTTGACCCTGGGAGACAGCAGGATGGGTGTGCCTGGCATTCATAGTCTGACATTGCCTACAAGGGGGGCAGCAGCATATCAATCATGGCCCACTGGTATGGTACCCACCCGTAGTAGTCCCATGGCCCCCTCCTACCTGAGCAGTATCCATTTCATTCAGCATCACCACAGAGGAACAATTGTAATCGAACACCAGCCTCCAGAAGTCTGCCACAGTGTTGGGGAGAGGGTGCTGGGTGACCACAAAGGCTGCAGGCTGCTTGTGGCTCTGACAAAGGAATGACACAGGTTTAGTCAAATACATACCCATCAGTGATATTCGGATCATGATGAGGCCGGGATGGCTGCCAGAGGCCCCGAGCCTGCCAAATAGATTTCACACAGCACCTGCCTGCTCTGTTATCTCTCAGTGCCCCAGCAGCAAAGGAGACCTTCTCATAATGAACACATTCTCCTCTAAACTAAGACATTTCATTAGGAAAGTGTCACTTGGATGGGGATTATCCAAATAAATTATTTATGTCTTGGAGCTCAGCAAATCATCATTACAATATGAAATGAAAAATCCTGGATGCAGGTTTGCTGTGCTGCTGGCCAAGATACCTCTTGGGATATCAGGGATCCCATGACTTCCTGTGCTTATGGTGCTGAAGAGAGGATCAATGACCTCAGAGGGGGCTCAGATGACAGGGATCACTTCTGTCTCTGACCTAGATCAAGGGCTGAGCTAGCCTGGCCAGAGGTGACATTGTACCATTTAGCCAACAAGATGGTGGAAGGCAACTGGGTATTAGAGTCATGTGGACCTGAGGTCCAAACCCAGTTTTGCCCCTTGAAAATTATGACTCACCCATCTGTTTATTCATCCAGCACAATCCACCCATCTGTCATCCACTCATGTTTTTAAATATCATTGTGGGGAGTCAGTCAGGTACTAAACACTGGTGAATCAGCAGATGGTTTCAAAGCTCAGACTCTTTTCCTGGAAAATGCAACTGAGATCTAAAGAGACGGTTTTCATACAATGAGTGAGACTTGCAAATTAAAAACAAACAAATAAAATAAACTGGGCTGGAGAGAGGGTTCAATGGTTAGGAGCACTTGCTGCTCTTCCAGAGGACCTGAGTTTGGCTCCCAGAAGACACATCATGCAGCTCAGAACGTTTTTGTGTCTTCAATTCCAGGGTATCTATTGCCTCTGAGCTTTACAACCATCATGCTCCTACCTACTTGCAGATACACACACCCATACATAATAAAAGAAATAAAAATAACCCTTAAAAAAGTAAGCAAGTTCACTGCAGGGAAGAAATACTCTTAGTTTAGGTTATCTTCCTCAGTACCAGCATTATAGTTGGAGCACAGTATACACAATCACAACACAGCACCTGTTAATACGTTAATTTCCCCCTGTGTTACAGATAGAGACACTGAGGTTTGAGGGGGGAGATGCCCTGTGTAAGTCTGAAAACTTCATTTGGGCCCCATGTGCAAGACTTCCTCAGGAGAAAGTGTTCGGCAAGATTGTGGGGTTGTTTCTACTTCATCAATAGCTTGTGAAACCTGAGAACCAGTCAGTGTTTCAAGACATTTCCTGGGTAGCACGTCCATGTGGGAATCAGAGTTGTTGTACTAGTGTCACAAATCACAAGGAAATGGGGAGAAAAGAGGATCAGAGACCTCAGAAATAGCACAGCAAGACATGTCTGCACTGAGGATTCTTGTTTCCCGGGACCTTTTCTTAGCTAGTAGATGATCTAACACAGTGTACCTGGAGACAGATCCTTTGAATCTCCCAAAGCTGAACTTATAGCCATTTCCAAACTTTATAAACTAAATCCAGGCTAAGGCTTGTGAGATGGCTCAGCAGTTAATAGCCCTCATTGCCCTCCCAGAGTAGCCCAGTTCAATTCCCAGCACCCAATGGAGGCTCACATTTGTCTATAATTCCAACTTCAGGAAGTTGCAGACACCAGGCACACACAACATCTTTCTGGTCTCTGTAGGTACCAGTTCAGGCACACTCATGGTGCACAGATATATAGTCAGGAAAAACATCCATACACATAAAAGAAAAAGAAAAACAGAAACTCAGGCTTTCAAGACAGTGTAGACACATGGCTCTGGTCCTTATTGCCACCATTTCAAAGCTAGTTGACTTTGAGCAAGTAATAGAACTACTTTGACCCCTGGTAGATCTCCAAAAAATGGGGAGAGTAATACTTCAGGGCAGAACAAGACAATGCAAAACCAGAGGCCGACATGGTGCCGGCATGCATTGAATGTTAGTTTTCTTTGCTTTTCCTGTCTCTGTGATAAATGCTCTATTAGGCTAGCACGCCTGACAAAGTCTTATCTGAAAATATGTTCGAGATCTGTGCTCCTGCCGGGTTTCAGGGATCAGCCAGCAATCCATTTCATGGATAACATCATCCTTTCCCAGGGGAAACATTAAAAATTAACCCAGAGGACTTCATATTTTTCTGCTAGAGGCAAAGCTGCTATGGTTACCAGATAATGCACAGACAGGGCTGGAATACAGATAAGGAATTTTTTTTAATATAAGAAAGGCAAAGGCCTCAGTGATGGCTCACAAGTGAAATGCCCTGTGGACAAAGAGAGTACAATCAGAACTAGAGCTTTGCAAAAGGCATTTGACTCCAGGCAGCATCTAACCTATGAAGTAGAGGCCAGGAGTTTCCTTGATCCTTGCTTGGATGAAGAAGTCAGTGAGAGAGGATGCTGGGGCAATGGAGGATAATGGTTGGAGGAGCTTGGAAGTATGGGTATATCTCTGAACCATGTCTTCTCTCTCTCTCTCTCTCTCTCTCTCTTTCTCTCTCTCTGTCTCACACACACGGGGTGGGGATGGAAAAAGGGAGAGGAGAGAAGAGATGGAGAGAGAGAGGGAGATGAAGGGGCGATGAATTAGAGAGAGGAAGAGAGATGTCTTAAAAGACAACCCTAAGCTAACATCAGAAGTCTTTCTTTTTCTTGAGCAATTCCATTACTTAACAGGACCCAGACAAAGCTCCCTGGTTTTGCACTCAGCTAGGCTTTTATGAAGAATGGAAACATCTGTGAGCCAAAGCCAGGGCAGGGTTTTTGAGAACTTAGCTGGGTATTGACCTTATATTCCCTCTTTGTTTCCAAAACCTAGAACACTTGGGATAATCAAAGGTCATGGAACTAATGGCCTTAACCCAGGAAGAGAATACTCTATTATTTTGCCTGTAACTGGGATAGCAGGACCACATCAGCTGGATGAACATGACCTCAGAGTGGGGAAGAGTGAGGAAAGAAACCTGGAATTGGTCATCCCCAATCAGGCAATGGTGTTGTTGGTCCTGAGCTTTAGGAGTCAAGATGCCCACATATAACTGGAACAAACAAATAGGGAAGGACAATAAATGAATTCTAGGGTGGGAGCTAGGAGCTCTAACTCTTGCTCTCTGGGATACTCTGAGCAAGTCTTCCTCAGTCAACCTTAGTATCCCCTGCTGAAAAGAGCATGTCTGAGACTAGAATGTCTGTGGTTCATACTGCTGCAAGCATCTGCATATCTTGAAGGTGCAATGATGATAACTCTAAGATGTCCAAAGGCCCAGGGGTGAGGCAAGTGAGGTAGAGGCATGGGAATACTGGGCAGGACATTCCCCTAACTTCAAAACAGATCTGGGAATGGTTTCCTTCTTGGACATGTTATTGAAGAAGCAAGGAGGATGCCTTAAGGGCCATGACCTGTTTTCCTTCTTGATCTTTTTAATGCTTCCAGTCACTGCCCAGTAGCCATTTACTGAACATCTGCTGTGTGCTATTTTCCCTTTTGCCTCTACAAAGGAGTTATCTGAGGAACTAAATGGGATGTTACCCCAAGAATATGTACTACATCTTATCTCCTGATGTCTCAAACTCTGGGAAATGTGGCCAGAACTGAACGTCTGGGTGAGAGTCACTTTTATGGAAGGTAGAAACATGCAGGATAGAACTATCAACTTGAGCTTTTATGGAAATTTTTTCAGCCCTTGATCTATCCTGTCTACCTTCTTTAAGCTGAAGAGCCAAAATCACACAATGTATCTGGATTTAGACATGAGGCTTCAGGGGTGAAATGGTCTCAAAAGCCAGTAGTTAGAAGCACAGTAGCCGGTAGGGTCAGGGTTCTGGGATCCATCTCCTCCTTGGGACTGAGCATTTTCTGTAATGGCAGCCAGGGGCTTCCTTCTAGGGTTCAGCTTACATCCATCAGTGCTGCGTTGATATAATTGCTGGATTCTCCATCTACTGAGATGAGGAAGGGCAGGCAGCGGTCCAGAGGCAGGACGTCCATGCTCCGATTCTTATCATGGTTCCGGGGTAAGAGTCCAATACTGCAGTCCTCAGGCCGCACGCGAGGTGTCACGATGTTGAGTGTCTGTGGGACACAAAGGTGACTAGAGGAGTAATGAACAGGAGGCCCTGTCTAAGCAAAGGAGAAAGGTATCCCAGTTTAGCTTAACTCACCTGTCTTTACCTTCCAAGCTCGGCTCTGCCATTGCTTTCCCCAAATTCATGTTTCTCTTGTGACAGTGATACTCTATTATATCCTGCATGTAGCTACAGAACTTATAGGCTAAGAAACCTTGCCTGGAGATTTGTGACACCTTCAAGATGCCAAGGTTGCAGGGGCAGCATGCCCATGCACAGGTTAAGACATGGGCTGACAACACCTGCCAACTATTTGAACTGTTGTTTAACTGAGCTAGCATAGCATTAAGGGAGGGCCAGCCAGAAGGGCATATGGCAGGAAATGGGGTAGAGAATTCCTAATGAATGTTAAACACCACTTGAAGTATCACGGAAAGTTCTTCAGCTCTTTTCTCAGCGATAAAAGTGTCTCAGTTGTAGGAGGATAGATTATGCTAGGATGTGCTCCTCGGGGTGAATAAGAGACCTTGTGGGGTAAACAGTCTGCCTACAAAATTACAAGTCTTTTGATATGTAGGTAGAGTAAGTCCTCACCCAGTTAGGGACCAGGGCTGTTCCAGCTAATAGACTAGGTCCTGTGTGCAATGACCAAGGTTCTGTGCCTTTCATCCCTCTGTCACTTGATATGCTGTCTCTAAGATGACAAAGATTACTTGTTTATAGGAGTCCTAAAATATCAGCCTGATTGGAACACTGTGAGCCTGGGATTTGCTTCATCCCAGTCTTTGTCCATCGGATGAAGGTCTGAACTCTGGCGTTTTACTCAGTGATCCACGTCTAGGTCTTTAGCTTTCTACCTAGTCATTTATATCTGGGCCTCTTAGGCCAAAGTTACAGTTTTGACTATCCTGACTCCAAGATGTGACTCTGCCATGTCTGAGTCATGCTCTAAGATGTTAAAAGCTTAACAAGCAAATAGATTCTGTTAAATTGTATGTTCTAATTCAGTAGGTTTGAGTGGGGCCCAAGAGTCCTCATTTCCAACAAGCATCCAAGTTCAGATGATGGGTTTAAAGAATTTGTGGAGAAAACATTGGGGCTCCAGTCCCTCCAGAGTCAAGGAAGCATGAAATTCACACCCGTATCAGCATATAAACTTCTGTCCATTCCACAACATCAACAAGAATTAACCAGTTCAATAGCATAATCACAGCGCAAAACAACTGTCAGCCATCATTGAGTGATTGGTTAATAGTTGCTAATGACTGTGCAATCTGATGGTGTGAAAAGCTTCCCACAGCTGCCGGGCACTGTAGGCTGAAAGCACACACATATCCATCTCACCAAGAAAGGTCCACAATATGCACTAAGTTTCCTGGGTCATTGCTATAGATTGAATGTATATATCTCCCCCCATATATATGTCACTATCCCAGCTCCCAATGGGGCATATGGGAGGAGGTCTGTGGGAAGTAATTGGATCACCCAGGGTGGAGGACTCATGAATGGGATATGTGTCCCTAAGAAAAGATACACAGGCATTTCCTCCTCAGCTTTCCACCATATGACACTATAAGGAAGCAGTCTCTCACAAGCTACATTCATGTCTGAGCTGTCCCCAGATACTAGATTTGCTTGCTGTTGGCTTTTGGGCTCCACTGCTTCCAGAAGTTTGGTAAGCAAATGCCTGTCATAGAAGTCATCCAGACTATGGGAATTTGTTAGGACAATCCTAAGCAGCTAAGTCCCTGAACTTTGACTTTGCCCATACCTGAAATTCATCTTTGATCTGGCTGGAGTTAGTCTGGGGGTCCAGCCTGCTGATGTTGTAGTAGAGAGAGCGGAACTCACACACAGGGATGGCGGTGTTGCCGCAAAGGCATGCTTCCAGGATGGCATCGTGCACAAACACATACTGCTCCTGCAAGGTCAAGAGGAGGGGAGGGAGAGGGCTCCAGGTAAGAACAGCTGTCTGTGAGCATTTTGTCCACATCGAATGAATCTTGTAGCAGTGAAAAATGGACATGATTTATTCTGCAGAAACCTGGGATTTTATCCCACAACCCAAAGTTCCAAGTCATCGTGTTTCACAGTGATTGAGCTATGGTGCATTTTGCCCTTGTATAAGATGGAACGGCAGAGCCACTGATAAGAATGAAAACTCAAGCATATGTCATTGCAGGTACTCTCAAGGCTCTGCTGATGCTCCCAGCTTTCATCCAAAAACTGCTTGCTACAGAAACCCTGCTCTTCTCTGCAGAGGGATTTCTTTCTACTTCCTGGAGTGTATTTAGTATTTTCTTCCTTTGTTCTTATCCCACTTTACACTCAACAACCAGAGTGCTTTGGGTTTGCCTCCAAAGGGAACTTTCCCTGAAAGCTGTGTCTCAGGGTCTGACTCTAACAAGTGCGCTATGCCCTCTCCCCAAGTGTATCATGCCTTCTCTCATCCCGATTCTTCGGCATACCTGCTATTCTCTTTGGATGTAACTCCTTTCCTTTCCTATATCTTTGTGTTTTGTTCTTTCCAGAAAGTATTTTTAAAAATCTTTTAAGCATAAGTTTATTCTGGGACTTTATAAGTGTTCATTGGGTAACATTTTTTTCAACAAAAATTTGACTTCTTTAAATAAAGTGCTTTATTTGAATGAATCATGATGCATTTGCACTTAAATATGTCTCTATGCCTGACAGTGAGGGCCATGTGTCTGACTATGCATACTGCAACTGCTGTCTACAGGCATGGTCTTAAAGCACAGACAGCACAGTCATGTTGGCTTTAGTGTTGGAGGCCTGGGAATTGGCTTGTGGGATCACTCAGAGCCTGCAGTAGACCTATTGTCCAGTGTGATAAAGCTTTCAGTGAGCACCTGCAGGAACTGATGTTCCTAAAGCCATGGGTATATCGCTTTGGAGGGTTTATATGAGTGCAGTCCCCATGGGTTCTAGATCTGCTAGGACATCGACAGTCTTTTCTAGAACCAAAAGGTGAAATCATTGCAGGAACATCAGCCCAAGGCATGCAGAAGTGGGATAGACTGAAAACCTGATTAACAAGCGAGAGTAGTTTAGGACAAACCACTTGGCTTTATCCATATAAAGACTTACGCATATAATTTTTCAGTGTCCTCTCCACTCATAGAATGGAGATGTAAGTAGGAGATGATATATCATGGGCTGTGAAGAGTAAGGAAAGTATCCTAGACACAAAGAATGTACATTTCTTGGCTCACTGTAGGTGACAATTCAGACAGCCTTTACTTATATTATTCTCAGGCACTGGCTCTCCAGCTAGACAGAAAGGAACCTAGGCATCTGCCTTTTCTTAAGGATAAGGGTTGTATATATCCCTCTAGGAATCCTCAGCCTTTAGCTCATGTCAAATTTCTCAAGAACTTTGAGCTGGAGAGATGACTTAGTAGTTAAGAGGACTTGCTGCTCTTAAAGAGGACCAGGGTTTGGTTCCAAGCACTTACATGGTGGCTCACAACTATTGTCACTCCAGCTCTAGGAGATCCAACAGGGTTTTGGACCTCTGTGAGCACCAGGGACATACACATGTGGTGTATTTGTATACATTCAGGCAAAATAAACACACAAAATAAAAGAAATAACCTAAAGTAAGTGCACTTTGTTGGTTAAGTAATTTCCATCAAGGACTGACTGAGCTCTTGGCACAGTGATGGTAATAAGTGCAAATATTTCCTCTCTATCCCTTCATCCAAAGCTGGAATACTATCTCTAACAACTGCCATTCAGTCTTGAATGACTGCAGAGATAGAGGACTCAACAGTTATTGCTGCCAGAAGTTCCTTACCACAGACTCTCGGGATTGGCTGGGGCATCTCATCAGAGCAGGCTACATAGTCATTCTATACTAACACTTTTGCAGATGTGTCCTTGCAATGTGACTTCTCCACTAATGAGCCTCTCTCCTACCATGCTTCTCCATGGTCAGGGTATCAGGAAACTAGCCGACTCAGTGCCCCAGGACTAACCTCAGTCTGCACCAGGTTGACCCTTTGTGCCCGCAGCTCACGCACGCAGTTGAAGATGTCCACTACCCCTTCATTCTCAGCCATGTCGAGCATGGTGTCAATGGCAATGAAGCAGCCAGTCCTCCCGGCTCCAGCACTGGAAGAGAAGTTTGGGGTGTGTTAGGGATCTTAAGATGGGATGAATTATGGCGACAAGGCCTGTTTCAAAAGCCTTGTGGAAAGGCAGTGTGTTGCAGAAATCAGGGGGAATGGTTGGAACCCCCAAATTTCTGGGCTATGCTGAACAAGTGATTAAAATTTTCTTTAATGGGAGAGTGATGCTTACAATCAGGGTTGTTTGGGGGAATTATTTTATTGTACTTATTTGTCAAATGTTTATTCAGTGCTTACAAAGTGACACATTGTGCTTTAGAAATATGCTTATGGACTTTCTTGTGAGGGGATAGGTACTTCTCTTATCCCATTTCATAGGTAAGAAGCTGAGGCACAGAGAGCTTTTAGTCTGAGGTCACAGAGCTGGCAAATGGGAGAGCAGAGAGTTTCACTAGGCAGTCTAGAATTTCTACTACCCTTCTTAATAAGATTTATAATGTGTAATGCAAGATTTCATAGTAGGTGTGCCTGCCTGTAGGGTCTTCATCTGATGGATATAGTCCAGGGCAGACAGTGTAAGCACTTATCAGTGCCTGGTGTATTGGAGCCCTCCTAGTAAACATGTCTTTCCTCCACCTCTCCCCTTCTTTTATCCTCTCTTTTTTTCATTTCAGCAAATGGGTTGGTGGATGGAAGCAAGAAGAGGACAGAGGTCACAGAGAAGACATGAGTGAGAGCAGAGACCAGAGAGCTCTGAGCTGTGTCAAAGACAGAGTCCATCTGGTGTCCTCTATCCAAGGATTTGCAGTTGACCCATTTGTGCTGGATCCCTCAGGGTCATGAGAAAGTCACATCATCAAACTAGAGTAGCTGACAGCCTTGAGACCCTCATCAGACACCAGGTTCCTTGACACATATTCAGTTTATGATTAGTGACAAGCTTTCACAGGACAACCTCAAACCAGACACAAAATGGCAAGAGGATTCCATAAGATCCCCTGGATCACAGCCAGATCTCCCCAGGTCAACTCTGGGCTATAAACAATAGGGCTGAATCATAGAACACTGGTCTGTGCTGTTCAGGGTTTTGGAAGGGAAAGCAGGGCAGACTGTCAAGGAAGCTCATGTTGGCGGTGGTTTCACACTTTACTCACCCTGTGGAAACAAATGTCTTTGTCTAACAATGCAGAAATCAAAGGAATGCAAGGGGATGGATGGGATGAGATGCAAACGCAACACTGGCTGATCTGTCCGAGAAGCATAGGGAAGTGGAGATCCCTCCAGTAGTGATCTGTAAACCAAGCCCCTTGGAAGCAGTCTTCAGTGGTGATAAAACACCATGGTTTGAACTGAATGGAGCCTGCCTTGTTCTTGCCTCAAAATACCCATCCCCAGTGGACTCCGGGCCCATTTGAAAGGAACTCAACATAATGGGTTCTGAAGCCTGGGAAGTGGTCTATAAAAAAATCACTCATTCATCTGTTTCCCAAATCCTCATTCTCAACACATCACACAGGAATGAACCAGCATCACGAATTTTCAATCTAGGCTACAGTATCAGGGAATAAGGCGCCTGGTATCTGCGAGCCTCAGTTTATGCCTCCTAGAAGAGTTTTTGAAAAGTCTGAGCTGTGCTCCCCTCCTTAGAATAAAACAGTAGCCAAACACATGATATTTGAGATCCCTGAGATAAATCTTGACTCTGTTACTTACTAGCTGTGTGACCTTGGGCAAATGACATCATCTCTCTGGGTTTCACTGTTCTCATTCATAAAGTAAAACTGGCCCCATACCTCTTAGTATTAATAGTACAATATATGTAAATTGCATCAAATTACATTTTAGAAACATAATGCATGTAAATTGCTTAGTTTTGTGCCTGACTACTTATAATCCACAAATATTTATTGAGCATCCATGATGTCCTGAATGCCAAGATTAAGAGTAGGGCTAGGAAGATGAGTAAGATACAATTCTTGTCCCAAAGAATTTGTTAAACCCCATCTGGGGTGTTGGATAATGTTAAGAGGTAGGAAGAGTGGTTGATTTAAGTGCTTACTATACTTGGAATTCTTTCAGGCACTTAGTATGCATTAACCAAATCTTAGCAGCCCCAGGAGTAGGTACCACTCTGCTGAGACACTTTCGAGGGACTTGCTATGGAGACGCAGGCACAGATCATCACACACAGTACTGCATGTGGCAGAGGGACTGATGACTATTTTCCGTCATCTCCCTTCCTCTCTTCCTCCTGACCTCTGGCTGCAGTTGGGGAAGTTGAGCTTAGACACTAATGTTCCTTTCTCTCTCTGTTTACAATGAGAGGCAAAGCAGAAAATCCACCTCGAATGCTCAGACAGTGCAGAGGTTTCTGCTAAACCCTCAGTTTCTACCAATGAGATGTGTATCTACTACTGTGGAGAATGTAAATGGATGCTGTGTGGGCAGTTTTCACACAAGGAGGAGGCTGCCTCTGAGACATTCGCCGAGTCTTCTTTGGCTTCTGGACTGACACAGACATTGCCAGGAAGGATGAGCTGGCCTGAGCATACAAGGTATAAGAAGATATACTGAGCCCAAGGTCATACTGAAATGGAGGGGCATTGGGAAGGAGGGGAATACAGACTCTGTGGCCTTCAGGTCTGGACGTCTACCTTCCTCCAATTCTAAATGCCCTTGACACAATACTTCATCTCCATTTAGGAGGATTCAATGCCACTTATGTTCAATGTGACTTTCTAGGTCAAAGCTGAAAATTTCCCGTCTCTGTAATAAAGGGAAGCTGATGCTGACCACTTGCTCTCTATTAAGGACCCTGCAGGCCAGCAATTGATTTTAAAAATAGTAGGAGTGAACAGATGCATGCTTATACCAAGGTATCCTATATTGAGTCACTGCTAGGATACTCCAGAGGACATGTCGACTATCCCACCTCTCTCTCCCATCTGTATGCCTCATTCTCCTCATCTGTAAAATGGGAATAATAAGAGGATACAATCCATTTCTCAAGTTTGGATGGGAAGTGAAAAATTTTGGGCAGATATACATGGCAGGTACAGCAGGTGCTGCTGAACTAAGTTGTGTCTCTGGGGCAACAGTCATAACTGTAATATAATGACTACCCCATTGTTGTTAGACCTTGGGATCCAGGTCTGCTCAGGAGGTAGCTGGGCTCTGGGTCATAGGAGAAGGAGTCATAAAGCAAAAAAACCAAGGCCACAGGACAAGATGGTATCACTCTCACCCACAGAGCAAATCCACACAGGTACCGTTGATTGCAGAATGGGCATGGAGGTTTGACTCACCTGCAGTGGACCACTATGGGCCCGGCTTCTGGGGGATTGAGGAACTTGACCTGGCGGACGAAGCCCAAAAGGCCAGTGGCATAGCAGGGAACACCATGGTCAGGCCAGCTGGTGAAGTGGAAGAGACGGAGTTCTCGGATCTCGTGGTAGCCTTTCTGAGGAGAGAATGGGCCTTTGTTCCCCCACCTGCTGACCTAATGTACCCTCCAGCTCCATGGGGAGTAGGGGCTGTGACACCGAGGAACATGTCTCTTCTGTGTGGGGAAATGAGACCCTCACTGGGTTAGTGGGTGTTAGTTCACAGTAACTCTGCCCAGTTAAGTTTGGAAATTGTGAAACCAGTAATTTCTTGTAGGACCTCTTAAAATTAATTAACATATTTATTTTCATGTGAATGAGTATTTTGCTTGCATGTCTTTAGCAGACATTCAGACCAATCCCTAGCAGCATCTACTTTATTGTTCATCTCAAGTTAAGTAATAGTCACCAAGGGCCACCTTTCCCTGGTCATGTGCTAGGCACTATGAGGGGTGACTGGAACAGCTCATGGTCTCATTGAGTGAGGAAGACTCCTATGTGGATAAACTGAGTAGAGTGTACAAGGGAACTATCTAACATGATTGGAGGGGAGAAGTCAGGGAAGGTTTCTTAGAAGAGGCCGCCTTGACTGAGGACTGGGAACACAAATTAGAGAAAATAGAAGCTGGCATTTATACTAAGTACTGGTGACGTCCCAGTCACTCCTTTGAACACACCTATGCATTTATTCATTTAATGGATCAGGCCTCCTATCACTGTCTTTTGGAAAAGGGAAGTGAAGCTGAACAAGGTTTGAACATTTCTATTAAACAGAAGGGGGATGGTTTGCACAGTGACCATGTGGCTCCACTGCCTGCACTCCTCAGCATTATGAAGCTGATGTGTGTGTGAACTTTCCTGCTTCACTGAGGACACAAAGGGGCAGCATGCATGAGATCTTGGGGACAGAAGGCAGCATAGAAGAATCACAGGGCTGGATGTGGCATGGGGGCTGAGTGGGTAGCAGGCACTGAAGCCTGGAGGCCTGGAACCCCAGCCAAATCCTGACCTTATCTCAAGGGCACCATGATATCAAGTCTGCTATGTGGCCGCTCTGTGGAGGACAGGTTGAGGGTGTGTGTTGATGTCCAGCCAATCTTGATTCTTGGGCTGGTGCACCATCCTCAGCTCCCATGTTTTATATGGGGACAGTTCTTGCTCCTCTTATTCAGAGGTCAGCCGCCCTCAGCTGGACCTGGGTTGGCTGGGGATAGCTAGCCTTCTCCACCTGACAAAAGCACTGTGGTATTAACGGGCTTGATCAATAGTCTACTGTTCCCAGGAATGGAGGGCTTTTGTAGGATGTGGACCTCCAGTGTAAACCCAGCCTGTTCTTGGCAAGCCAGAATGACTGGTACCCTTGTAGGGACTCAGTAAGCAAGCCCTATACCTGTGGAGAAATTCCTGCCCCAGGACTCTGTGGATTCTGGCTGAAGCACAGTGACTACTAGGGTCCTGCGCCAGCCTCCTGCAAGCTCCCTCTCCATATGCAGTTCATTCAAATTCCTGTTGCTTTGGGCTCTGCTTTCAAGACTCCAAATTAAGATGTAGCAAGATGAGAGGCAGAGTAAGTCTAGAAGGGAGAGGACAAAACCTGATTGAATCGGAGATGGGGAAGGAGAGGCAGAATGCCTCCAACACTGGCATGCACCCTCCCCACCTGTGCTATGCTGTTCCTGGTGGAACTGTGCTTACTCTAGGAGCATAGGACATTTCTGTTTGCTGTTCCTGGGTTTCCAGTTCAGGAACTGATGTTGACAGAGTTTGCTGATTGCCTGTCCATATGCCATGGAGAATCTGTGGTGTTCATCCTTAGAGATTTGTGAGGTCTTACAAGTGAAGTTCCCTATATGCAATGCCTCCCTTTCTTATTGTTTAAAGGAAGAAGGAAAGAGAAAAAAAGCTAAGGAAAGACCCTAGTCCTTCAGCAGGTTACAGTTCCTCCCTATTTGGGTCTGGGCTTAGAGAGATGAATTGGTATTCCACCCCTCTTAATGTTAACTAGGGACTTATTAGGTAAGATTAGTACCCATTCAGGCTCTCTTTATTGGGCCTTGGCTGTGCAGTGTTGCTTGTCAGTACCTCCCAGCTGTCCTTTTTCTTGAATGTCCATTCTAAAGCTGACTCACCCTGGAGGTTAGCCTCAGTATTATGTCCATAGTCGGCAGGAGCACAAATGTATGAACCAGCACCTCTCAATATAGACAGTCCTAGATATGACATGCTGGTCTGGATAATTCTTTATCATGTGTGTTGTGGATAATTTAGAAGCATTATTGGCCCCCACTCACTAGATGTCAGTAACAAAATACTATCTCTCAAGTTATTATGTTCCCATATGTTTTCAGACACTGATAGAGGTCCAAATTCCTCCTGGTTGAGATTGGACTCAGACTAGATTCCCAGTCTTGGAAATGTTGGTGTCTTTTACCCTACCACACTATGTTTTTGATTCTTGGTCAAGGATATTATTCCTCCTATCCTTTCCTTGACTGGAGCCTTCTCAGCCCTAAATTTCTCCATTCTACAAATTACTTCAGTTCTAGGGGTATGTAGTGGTGCCCCTGTAGTTTCTCTCTCCATCCTTCGGTCCCTTATAGCTCTTATCACAATTAGTCTATTGCATTTTCTTGAGGTCTGTTTGTCTCTCTAGCTAATTAATCCACTGTAATGGTCAAGTATATTGTGATACTGTTCTGTCTATCATGCCATGTATGAAGGCACAAATCAATCCCCTGGTCTCCACTGTCTGGGTAAACAGACGGCCAACTGGCTTAGGAAGAGGGACTTCTCACAGAAAGGGAAACTTACCTTCTGGACTGTGAAGGTGCGGATGACATATTCTGCTAGAGGCTCTGTTTCAATTAGGGTGACTTTAATATCTCCATAGACCTCTGTGTCATCTGGCCAGTACCGTACACACTTTACCTGTGGCCAAGTGAGAGAAAGGGAAAGGAGAGGGAGGAGAGTGCATAAACAGAGTGCCAAGCATGAGAAGCCAACTCCTTTGCTTTTCCCATCCAAATAACCCCAAGGGTGACTTTGAAGACATTTGCCCATGGGATGCTCAGTGGTCAGGGATCAGCAAATTGTATAGGACCTAACCCACTGCCAGAGTCACTGGGGCCATTAAAAATAATAGCAGTCTCTTCTCTTACAGCTTCTGGTGACTTTCCAGTGCATTGCTACCCTAAAGCATTAGAAAGAACTAGGTAAGTTGGGAAAGTATATCATCCCCACTTAGCAGATGAATAATAGTACTGGAGATGGTGATGTGGTCATTTTCTGCTGTGTCAGCACAGGGCTGCTGAACCTTGTTATCTGAGCAAGGATGAGAAATTCAGGAGTAGACCAGCGAGGAGGTAGAAGCAGAGGGGTCCTTATAAAGAGGCGGTCACTGGGGACTAGAAGGAGAAAGGCTCTTAGTTGGGGAAGAGACAGACAGTCCTGAGCTCATGGGAAGATGCGCCACTGCTCTCTCTCTGCCCCAGCGGTAGGTACCTATGCTACCAGCAAGTAGTTCCCACAGTTGACTCTAAGTTCTACAGAGAGCAAAAGAAATTATGTTTTTCCCCTTAAAATAGCAAAAGTGTTATTACCATTCCGGGGGACGACGCACGGCCTAGCGTGGCATTTCCCACAGTGTGTTCCGCTGGGTGCTAATAGGTGTTAGGTAAACAAAACAAAACAAAAATAAAAATAAAAACAAAAACAAAAAACAAGAAACAAAACAAACACAAAAAGGTTTTGTGGTCAAATGAGTTTGGGAAATGCTGTTTCAAGCAAGTTAAACAAACTGCTTTGCTAAAACATGACTTAGATCCTCAGAAGTGCTATTTTTGTTAAATGTCTTAGGACTCTCCAACAGGGGCAGAGGACACAGCATTTCTCAAACATATTCAACCATGGAACCCTCTGCTCACTAGTCAGCCTGCAGACTAGCATCCCATGGAACCCACTAAGGGAAACACTGAGAGTGAACAGGGTTTGGAGACCATTGCTTGACTCTAAAACTTTAGAGCTAAGAACCTTCTAGAAAGCCTTAGATTCCTACAGCTAAGGAAAGCTGATACTTACCTAGTCTAGCACTGCCTACTAAGCATTCTATGACTTATTCATATGTATTGTTTTCATTTTGTGATACCATAACCTTAGATGATATGCTCACCCACATTTTACAGATGAGGATTGAAACATGGAGAAGCCAAGAAAACTGTTCAAAGTCAACAGCTAACAAGGGATGGAGTAAGGACCAAGCCCAGACTGTCTGTATCATAACCAGGAACACTGTCTTGTATGATTATTGTGAGATAAATATAATGTAGTATGTGAGTTGGCCATTAGCAGGAGTTCCATTAAGAAACTGCTCTTCCACGTAAGCCCAATTTCAATTCACAGCCTATCACTCCCCATCACGAGGAGAATTTGTTTCAAACTATGGGATGTGGTGTGGGCCATGTTGGAATTCTCAAACCCTGAACATTTTTGGTACCCACTGGAGTTGCATTCTGGGTCTGAGTCCCTGGGAAGGCAGCTGAACAGTGGGGTTGCAAGTAATATAATGTGAGTCAAAAATGAGGTTGGAGCTAATTGATTCAGGTGTTCATCCTTTTGCACCCATGCCTCATCTGTAAAACTGGGGAATGAACCAGATAATGGTGAATGCACAAGGATAAAGTCTCGCTTGATCCTGACCCACTATTAGGCAATGAGATGTCTACACCCTTCCAATACACTATGGCATATTCTTCTTCTCCACCTCTGTGGTCACCATTTATCCTGATTATCTATAAAAGTTCATTTGTCCACTCTCATATGGTTTGTATACAGTATGGAACTCCTTTGAGTTTAGATATTTGTACCTCAGCCTTTCAATGGTGCAACCCACCCATCCATCCACAGGCCACAACTAATCAAAGAGGCAAAAGCAAAGCTGGAAATAGTGGCCCCATTTCTAAGCTCTAGCTAAGGGCAATTTAGGACCCAATCTAGATAGAACAGAGAGGGAGACAGAGGTCTGAACCCTGTTGAGGTTTCACAGTCAGGGGAAGAAGAGCAGGTAGTCGAGGGTGAGATGCTGCTGAGAGGAGAAGAGAGATGAAGAGAGAGATGTGGAGCCTGGGTTTGTCAACACAAAGGAAGTGATGTTGACGACGTCACTGCTCTGCCATGGTGGAATGAAGAGCTCTGCCATGTTGAGGTGGATAGAGGAGTGGAGACACAAATCATCTGTGAGTCCTTGGGATTCAGTAGAAACATGGGAACAGGGGAGGTGCCTTTGCTCGGCTTTAAAAAGTGTTTCTAATCATTTTGTAGTAATGACTTTTGATGTTTGACAATTTTGTACATAACTATAATTTATTCAGATAATTCTTCCTCCCTTATCACTGCTGCCCATCCCCCCATCCCTACCCTCACTTTAGCAGGTTCATGAGTTTTGCTTTTGTTTTGTGACTCATTTGGTGGTGGTTTTTGTCCCTCTGAGATAGAAATTACTGAGCATATTCACATGCTGAAGGAAATAATCCAGCAATGAAGAAGAGTCTTAGATTTCAAATGAAAGGGGAATATGAGAAAATCTCTGTGTCTTGTTGCACTGAACCTGGGGATATTAATTCATCTGATCTGCCCTGCCTGGCTCCTTCCCTCTTAATGATATATCCTGGTGACAGGTCCCTCTTGACTCCCTTCAAAGTTGAGTGTGTTACTCCTTGCTTCTCAGGGACTCCTGGTTGCTTTACTGCCATGTCCCTCTGATTTCTTTTATAGTCCAACTTCATTCTATTCTGTCAGGGAAGATCAGGCTCTTTAATGGGAAAAGGATGTTTGGGCAACGGATGAGTGGTGGGAGCAAACACAGGCTTGCAGTGACCTCCCAGAAGGCATCTTCCCAAGGGTCACCTGTCAAAGGGCTGAAGCTTAGTGTTTGTCATATTGGGCTTTGTCATAAGAAATGGCCAATAGTCAACCTTTTGGAGTCAACATAAACAGCCCTTTCTCATAAACAGAAGGGAAGGATGTGAAGATGGCTGTAGATACAAATATGATTATAGGTCTGTGATGTGTTGGTGACAGTGTTCCCATCTGATGGCTTTAATTTCCTCAAAACATATGAGATGACATCATCAGTGGAAAGAGAGGATAGAAATGGCATGGAGACTTGAAGGGACAGAACACTGCTCACATGGGAAGTAGCAGTATAGTATCTCCCATCCCTATAGGCTGCTGTAAGGGTGTGGTGCTGCTTAGGAAGCCGGTGACACAATGCAGGCACCAGGCACGCCAGGGTGCATCTCCACCACCCTCTGCCCACACAACCAAAGGAGAGGCTTACCCTGCCCACTTCCACAAGGTTTGTGACCATGACGATGCTAGCGGAGTTTTCTTGCCAGATCATTCTCCAAAAGTCCTTCACAGTCTCTTGCATTGGACCTGCCAACAGGGAAGGTGATGGGGTTAGAGGCTGTGGGTACAAAGTAGATGCTGAAAGGGTTGTCTCTTGGCTGGTCAAGGTTTGACATGGATGGGTAGAAGTGAAGCCAGGGGAGTCTGAGTGGGACACCAAGTAGCTGAGATTGAGGCCAGAGGCATGAGTCTGTTGGGGCCATAGCAGAGCACAGATAAGAAAAACAGATGAAAAGGTATCCATGGTCTGCAGCATCCTCCCCATCCTCATCGCTACCTTTATGCTCAGTCCAGTGACTCCACTTTCTCCTGATCCACTTCTTTATCTGGACTATAGTTTAGATCATGTCCAAGGGGGGGGGTTCAAAATTGGACAGCAGGATCTCAATGAGAGGTAGGGAGGGAATTAGGATGGGGAGGTGGGGCTGTCAAAAGCAAGAGGGTCCAGAGGTTTTTTTGTTTTTTTGTTTTTTGTTTTTTTTTTTTGTTTTTTTACGAGACAGGGTTTCTCTGTATTGTTTCGGAGGCTATCGGTCCAGCCTGGCCTCGAACGCACAAAGATCCGCCTGCCTCTGCCTCCCGAGTGCTGGGATTAAAGGCGTGCGCCACCACCGCCCGGCGGGTCCAGAGTTTTGAGTTTGACAAATGCCAGAGACATTCATCTGAAACTTGACCAGGAAAGAGAGAATTAAAACACAGAAAATGTAAAAGAAAAAAATCAAGGCAAAGGGCAGAAAAGCAAGGAATAGGAGATAGGATCTGACAGTCCAAAGCAATTTCCTAGGAAGCAGTTCTTAATATCCTGGGTCTTCATCAATTTCAAAATTACAAAAGCAATTCATGTATTTGAAAGAAAATTTGAATAGTATTTTCCTGTGTTTTGTATGTAATGTGCATTTTCTTCAATAAGCACCAGGTCTATTATAAGTACTTTTTCATAGCCTCAAAAACGATATTTTTCAGAGCTACAGAGCTTTCTACAACACGGAGATACCAGATGTTATTTAACCAACCTGTCTATTATTGGGCATTTAAGAGTTTTCACTTTTTCCTATTACAGATGACATGATAACATTGTGAAAAATGCTTTTTATATGTGTCAAGGTCCACACATATAATTATCTGCAGGACTTCCCCCCAGGAGATTTTAGAAGGCATAGTCATTTTTAAGCCTTCTGATAGCATTCTGCCACACAGGGCAACTGACTGCATCTCTTTTGTGGACTTATACTCACTGAAGGGATGGGGACATCTGTTGGGTAGCCTGCTGAGGTTTTTTTCTTGTAACCCTATACATGGTCCCTTCCCTCTTCTCTTAATGATATTTCTTAGTGACAGCTCTTTCTGCTGCTAGTCTAAGCTCAACTTGTCATCATCTTGTTTCTCAAGGACTTCTGCCAGCTTTGCTGTCCTGTCTCTCTGGCTTCTTTGTCTGTGAAAGTTCATCCCCTTCCTTCAGGAGAAGCCAGATTATTTAGTGGAGAAAGAGCTTTGGGATAACAGAGAAAGGAATAGTAGATAATAAGGCTTACCCTGATTTTAAAAACCCCTCTTCTTAGATATCCTTGAGGGCACTCCAGGACACTTACCTTGGGTTGCAATGTAGTGCCGGGGTCGGTGGTACCCCTGGATAATAGGAGGAAAACACAGTGAAGGGTTTCCAGTCAAAGATCAAAACCAGCACAGTATTAAGACACATTTCTTGCCAGCTACCTGGTGTTCTCATAGGCAAAATGGGGATAGCATCTCAGAGAAGTAGCAAAGACCACATGTGCAGAGGTCAGAACTTTGTAGCATTAGCTGTTATTGTGACTACCTGTGAGGGCCTATACAGGTTTTCCCTAGGTATTCCTTACGCTCATGCACCAAAAAATAGGGTGAGAAGGCATTTAAGGCTTATGGTGGACACCAATGACCAATACGCTTTTCCTGAGCCATAATAATCAAATGCAGATTCCAATACTAGGTCTACTGGGGCACCTGGAGGAAGAAACAGAGAAAGACAGGTATATTTTTGGCTGAACATTGTTAACAGTCAGAAAAAGGAATTACTTCTCTCTGGTGATAGGAAAGTTTTGGGTGTAGAGAGGACCACGTGGAAATGTGAACTCAGACAGCCAAGAGCTATTTGTTGATTCAAAGACCAGCTTGTGATTTCCCTGGCTCTTTCAGAGTGCTCCCATACGCCTGTGTTTTTGATGTGTTCCACGGAATGGAACTAAGTTGGTGGCCATAGCATCCTAGTCATGAGGAAAAAGGTTGTAGATGATACTGTCTTTTACTTGGGAGGGGAATGGATGGTGGGCCTCCTTTGTTACAGATGAAAAGTGTATTGTGTTGAGTAAGAACTGTATTGTATTGAATAAAAGTTCAAGTATAGTATAGATTATCAAATATGATCAGCATTTAGTGATAGATGGATGACCCAAGGAATGGACTAACTCTTGATAAGTTCCTAATGTGATAGTATTATTGGGAGAAGGGGAAAAGAAGAGGCCTAGTTGGTGGAAGTGGGAGAGTAAACTTAAAGATTCTTGTCTTGTTCTGTTTCTATAACTCCCCCTTTCTGCTTCCTGATTGGGATGTAAATTCTAATGTGAACTGTTGTGCTCTGCCACACCTTCTTGTTAGGATAGAGGGATTGACGTCTCTGAAACTGTGAGCCAAACTAAGTATTTTCTCCTTTAAGTTTTCTTACTCAGAAACTCAGTTACAGCAATGAAAATGCCTGGATAAATTAACCATGTACTAAAATACATGGCTAGATTAACCTCATACCATGATTAATGCAAGTGGTCCCCTATATTTAATGAGGACACTCAGCTGACACAACTAACCCTATAGAAACCATTTTCCATAGACTTTATATAGTGTTAGACTTAGAGAAAATGCCAAATAAACAAGCTATGACAAACCAACCAAAAAGGCAGCATAGCATATGGATTATATATACCATAGACCAACTTACTTGTTTAGGTTTGAATTTTGGTTCTGTCCCTTCCAGGCTGTATCATTTAGGGTTAGTTATTTAGCTTTTCTGGGTCTCAGTTATATTGATGAAATGTGGATCAGACTGATCAAAATACACTAAATAAGATTTAACAAGTTAATACATGACAATTCCTATAATATATAATGAATACAATTCTAAGATTTTACATATGTGTATTTGTTATTATAATTGTATTGTTGCTCACTTGGCAAACATTTATTGAGACACTTTGATGATTCAGGGTGTATACTGAACCTTTAGTAGTAACTGATGTCTCCTCTACCAACAAAGGGATGGAAAGGCATATCTGTCACTCTGAGTCAAGATGGACAGGGCTATGCAGACCGGATGGAAAAATTAGATTCTGGGGCCTTTTGAGCAGGTTTGAGAACAGAAAATAACTCCTTAGAACCCAGAATGATGAGGGTTCTTATGCCTACCCTCTTCTGCCATCTCCATCATCAACTGTTCTCACAGTCTTCCCTAACCTGGTCCATAACTTAAACTACCTGGTGTCCTCCAAGAGCCCATTTTTACTCCTGAAGCTCATCTGCTTCCTGCAGTAGTGGGCTTCTCAGGATACACCAGAGAGGTAAATTTGTCTTTTTTTGAGTCTGTATGTAGTGACTCTGCTTTGCTTGCATAGCAATGTCTAAATGCTTCCTCTTAGAGTAACTACATGTCTGCATCCTCATCTTGAACTCTTCTCCCAGCTGTCGCTCTGTGTCTGCTCCCTGAATACACTCATCTTGTGTTCTAGTTTCAGTATTCAGGAATTTAGATGTGGCCTTTTCTGTGATACAGAGGTAACTCCTTTCTCATGATTTTCCTTTCTCTTGAGAGACTCCACAGGGCTTCACAGATACCCAGAGAATACAGGAACATGAACAGCACTAAATACTTCTATATTTTTCTTTTCCTGGGTCATGAGACACAGCACCCAGAACTGGGTGCAGCTTTCTGCAAAGGTTGGTCAGTGGGATGCATGCAAGAGTTGTGTTTTGCATTGGCAAAGACCTTGGAAGAAACTAGGCTTTGAAAGGTTCCTTGAAAGTTAATGGTAAAAAGTTCTGGGTAAGAAATTACACATTAATTGTGAGATTGGCCTGCTGGGGCTCACTACTTGGTGTTTTCCTTTGCTTGCACAGTCATTTCAGATTCAACCAGCAAGCATCACAGCAGCACATTCTACTATGCACAATGCACGGGAACCCGCAAATGAACCAGACAGATGTAGGCTCTGCTTTGGAGCTCCGTAGAGCACCCAAGTGAACTGACTTAACTATGATGCCAGAACAATGTTCTCTGAAGAGGTGGTGGTTTAATCAGCTTCTAGTTTGGGCCTCTCAACATTTCTGCATCCCCACTTCATGCCATCAGCAATGTGTCTAGTTTTTCCACAGCTGTTTGCATTGCCCATGGAGTTATAGCCCTTCTTCAGAAATAGTAGTCATCACATTTCTGTCCAGAAGACTTAGTGCCAGGCCACTGTCTGCTTCTCTCCCCTATTGCCAGCTTTTTTATTCTAATGTTTTGTTCTATTTTGTGTGCACATGTGTTCGTGCATGCATTCACATGTGTTTGGAGGTGTATGTGCACATGTGTGGGGGACAGAGGTTGATGCCAGATATCTTTTTCAATTACTCTTTGCAGTGAACCTGGAGATTGTTGACTTGACTAGACTGCCTGGCCAGCAAGCACCTGGGGACCACCTGTCTCTACATCCCCTGTGCTGGGATTGCAGCAATGCTGCCCAACATGGCTTTTTATGGGTTCTCATGACAAGCACTTTACCAACTGAGCTTTTCTTCAAAGCACCGATCACCAGATGGCTTATTCATTTAAATCACTGTCTAACCCCCACCCCCACTCTGTGTTGAGGGAGGTTTACAAGGGCAGGTCTGTGCCCAGCTTGCTTGTGGCTGTGCTCTCAGCATTGAAGTGTTTGTCTTGGCTGTCAACCCTGGTAAAAGCACACTGAATGCATATGTGCCACTTGCCTGTCCCCATGCCACATCTGAGCAAGAAGGCCTTCTCTGGACTCCAGAAAACTCAAACAGTTCCCAAAGAGGAAAAATTCAATCCATGAGAGTGATTTCTTAGCAAAGGTGATAAAAGGAAATGCATTGCTCAACTGGATCTCCTCTGGGGATTTGCCAAGAGCTAGTGAAGAAAACTTCCTAACCTTAAAAGAACTTTCAGTTCATTTAAGTCCCACCTACACAGCACACAGATCGACTGCAAACCAGCACTGGGCCTGCCTCCATCTGTCTGTGAGCAATGGGAAAGAGGTTTGCATCCAAAATGAATTTATCTCACTCTGCACTCCTGCATCTGTTACTTACTTGGGACCCAGATATGATATTTATTTCCAGGCTGGTAATTTATAACAGATTCAAGTGGCCAATACATTTTCGGGTGTGCAAACAAACATGCCAGTAGGTTGGTTCAGAGAGCAGCATACCACAGCCTCCAGAGGCTCAGGCAAGGTTGACCTCATCTAGCTCATTATCCAAATAGAGTCATTTTAATAAATTGTCAAGATCCAATTATAGAGAAGGGTCTATAGCTTGGATAGTTACCTCTTATCTTTGGGCTGTGGTGGAGACCAGAGTAAAGCTGTAAGACTAGATAGTTCATAACCGCCCCCACCCCACCCCACTGTATTATTGGTTATCAGGAATCCCCAGGAGGCCACAAGAATATAGTTCTACTGTGATTTCAGGTAGGCTCACGACCCTGATTTTTCCTGCTTTCTGTCCTGTCATGGAAACACCATAAGAGGGTAGTTGTGTTTGGTGTCCTTTTGTTTCCCACTTTCCCCATTGTCTTTTTCACACTCTGTTCTGTGCCTTGGGAGGTGACAATAGAAACTGCAATGGAGGCTCCCATGTCCTCAGGCTTTAAGGGGGCAGTTTCTAACTAGGAGGGGAAGCAAAAGCTCAGAAGCCAGTGGGAGGCTGGGGCATCTGCCCTTCTAGGTTCTGCCATGCTGTGTTGGCAGGGGTTAGGTTCTCCCTGGCAAGAGCAAGACAGCTTTGTCCTTAAAGTAACACTCTTCCCTTTGTACCCATTCTCTTATCAAGCCACAGAACTTCTGACATTGCTTTGCCATCTCTAGCCCCAAGATACTCCACACAGTCTGGTTGGTTATTCTGCCTCAGTATTATTCAGGCCCTTATTAAACTCTGCCTGGTTAACACCTGTGAGCCAGCTTGTTTCCTCTTCGAACCCTGATAGGTACTTTATAGCAGCTATCACATACTTGTGGGCTGGCATTTTATTGCATCTTGCAGCCATCAGAATGAATAAATTACTTACCTATAGTCACAAAGGTAGTCATCAGAAAGACCTGTATATAACAGGCCCAACAAGAATGGGATTCATGACTGTAGTCTCATTAGTTCTTGATGCTAATCATTTAAAGGCAGCTCAGGGCCTGACACTGCCCATTAGGACAGCATGTGGTGGAGACATTTGGCCTGTCTATAAAATCTACTTCTTATACAGAGAGGGAGGGGGCTGTGCTTGTTCTAGCTGTGCAGAGAATTAAAGTCTAGCTGTGTGACCTAGGGCGGTGCTCTTAACCTCAATCCTTGGTTTCCTGTCTTTAAAGGCTTGCAAAAGACTTTGTAATGACAGAACAGGACAGAAATGGAAGACCTGATTAGTGCTGGCACTGTACAGAGTCACTTGCATTTAAAGCGATTTCATTTGCTGCCTATACAACATGGAAATTTCTCAGTTCTATTTGTAGTCAGACATTCACTCTACTGTAGATTGAGTAAGTAGCTAGAAAAATCATTTGATGGGAGTTTTCATTTAGATATTAAATGCCAGATAAATATAGCCGTTTGGACACACAAGACTATGTATGTGCTATATCCTTAGGACTTTCATATCCACCTGACCACAGTCAAGGTGGAGAAGGAAAGAAAGGAACCAGTTCAACCCATATCAACACATGCTAGCAGAACGTCCACTAAATGCATGCTGTGGGATGGTGTTGGGGTAGATGAAGGCCCAGGAGAAAGAGTACTGGGCTGGACAGTACTCAGCTATGGTCCATACCCATGTTATGTCACTGACCATCTATTTGACATTGGACACGCTTTTCAAATTCTCCAAGTCTCAGTCTCCCCATTTGCAAAGTGGAAATGATAAGAACCACCTTGAAGTGGTGCCAAGAAGCCTTAGTAAGCTGACTCACTTGAAGCACATGTCATTGGGTCAGAAGTGACACACTGAGAACCTACTACCATTGTCACTGCTTATTGTTATTAGAGGAAGCAGAGTTTGAACTCCTGGTTCAAAATCTAGCTCCTCCTCTCTTCCCTCTTGGGTGGGATTCTAGATACATTACCGTGAGGGACCCAGCTTACTCAACTGGGTATGGGTGCTAGAGGTATTTACCCAGTGAGGTTGAAATACTAGTTAAGGTACATGAGAAATACTAGTTACTGGTACATGAGAAATAATCTCTAATTTTTAGGTTACTATAACCCTTTCTTGTACAGCTGGTTTTCTGTCACATCCTAAGGCAGGACTGAGAGGTCTTCTCCTTCAAGCTTCCATTGGACTCCCTCTTGAGGCTTCAGTCTGACAGTCTCTTTTCTAATCTGACCCATCTTACCAGGCAGAATCCTAGTCTGAAAGGTCAGTATTTCTATCACACAGTAGAATGTCTTCTTGGTATTTGTGAAGTGACTAATAAAGGGGAAAGCTAATGGCATGATGAGCAGATGCTTAGAGCAACTCACTCTTGCTGTAGACAAGCTGCTGAGAATTGAATTCCTCCTTGTGTAATCATTTGGAGGGCTACAGACACAGAGAATGGCCTTCTTTGTCTCCACTGAAGCCCTGGACCCAGGTCTTGGTTACACAGCAGGTCTTTTGATAGCTTTGTTAGGGAGGGTCCAGAAGTAAAGTGGAAACCACCCTGAGCATTGCAGACAGAGAGGATTCAACACGGAGAATTGGCTTTACAGGTTCTAGAGGTGCATGATGACACAGAGGAACTATTGGCCAGCCTCAAGATAACAAACCTTGGAGCCTCTAGGTCAGTAGTTCTTAACCTTCTTAATGCTGTGACCCTTCAATATAGTTCCTCATGTTGTGGCGACCCCAACCATAACATTATTTCTGTTTCTACCTCCTAACTGTAATTTTGTTACTGTTATGATCTAAATATAAACATCTGTGTTTTCTGATGGTATTAGGTAGTCCCTGTGAAAGGGTCATTTGATCCCCTAAAAGAGGTCACAACCTACAGGTTGAGTAACATCATCCTAGAGGAACAATGGAAAACCAGAATCATAAGAGCTGGTGACTGGAAATTGCCTGGGAGGAACTGGAACTGAAACTGAGGGAAGCAGAGTTGCAGATGAAATGTGGCCAGAAAGAAGTTTCCACCTAGGAGAGAAGAGAGCAGAGGCACCCTGGTTTCTCTTTTCCTGCCATCCCTGGGTCTTCTATCTTTCTCTATTCAAGAAAGCTTTTCTCTCTCCCTGAACACTACAACCACTCTCACAAGTGCACAGTCACTACCATCAGCAAAGCGAAGGAGAGTAGAGAGTGTCAAGGAGTAACTGGGGTGAAGAGACAAATGACCATGCTGGGCTGAGTGTACATCTAGGAATGTGGTTTTGCTGGGTGTTTCCATTCACATAACAAAGGCAAGATAGCTCCAGCAACTCAGGCATGGAAGGCTCTATGTTGATACACATCTACTTTAGGGCAGTCACATCTACCTAGCCGTAATCAAAGGAAAAGAGAAGAGGGAGGAACCGATCTAGCCTGCATTGGCATCTGTTGGCTGAATATTCACTGTAGGGTAGTGTTGGGTTCAAGGTTAAATAAATGTTTGTTGAACTAATGGACCAGGTGATGTTATAAGAAAATTCATGAAACACGTTACCGTACTTCATAGCTGTCTGTAAATACATTTGAGAGTGAGGGATCAGTGGCAATCTGAGTCATTCTTCAAGGCCTCTGATCAGTAATTCTGGCATAACCAGCTGGCAATAGTGGCCATACTTCCTCTTTGGTAGACTCTTTCACTTCTCTGCATACCTTTCTTGGCTCCTGTTTGAACTGAGTCCCATTCTCAGTAGTGTCTGGAATGTGGTGGCAGCCTCTCTCCTACTTGGTTATGTTAGTTCCAGGCTCTCCTTTATATGCTCTACCTTTTTTCCAGTAGCAGATGAATTGTAAAGCTCAGTGCTGATAGGAACCCCCACATTCAAACACCTTCAGTAGTTTTATCTTTTCTTCAGGGCCCAACCAGCAAAGACATCAAGGATCTAGTGTCAGCCCCATTTTCCAGTGTTCCCACCATACTGTTTCCACCACCTTCAGACAGAGGTGGTATGCATTTCTTTTCAAGCTCCTTCCTGTTGGAAAGAGCTGTTCTCTAACCAAAGGGATGTCATCCCTCATTTTGACTTTGAATTTTACTCACACTTGAAGCCTTGACTCACATAATTTTCTGCATCCCTGATGGATATGTTTCCCACCCCTGAATCCCAACAGTATTTTATCTAAACCTATAACAGCCATTACCCTAGTTTACCACAGATGGGCACAGCTTATCTCTCTTCTGATGTTTTTGAGGGCAGAGACACTGGCATTTTTACTTTCGTGGGTCTCCTAATATCTAGCACAATGGTTGTATCTTCAAACGAGTGGCTGAGTGAACAGGCATATACCAATTAATATACGGGTTGAATAAATAAGATCAGCAGTTTCCCTGGAGCTGCAAAGAACAGATTAACCTGCCTGAAAGCTTTGGGTGGATAATCAACTTGGGTCATACAAACTAGGGAAGGGATGCACTGCTCTGGACATGATCCAGCTACCTTCTTGTGGACAGGTTCAAGACAGTCTTTCAGTTAGATCTTGAGTCTGGACAGTCAACTCTGGCCCATAGATACTTAGCCCAATCAAGATACTCACATCAATGTAGTTGGCATTGATGTAGTCAGAGTGGGGGTCTCCATCCAGCACCAAAAGCCTCACCCGGGAGTGGTCATCTGCAGAGAGAACAAAAAGCAGGAAGTGGTAGATGAGAGACTATGGGATGAAGAGTCAGTAGTTTTCGTCTTTAGAGCTGTCATTGATTAGCTACTACACTCCAGCTACTGTCACTTTCTCACAGTTATCTGCTATTTATAGATGAGGAAACAGAGGTACAGAGATGTGACAAATCTGAAAAAGGACCCCTCTTCTAATTTCTATTTTGATTATGATTTCACCATTACCTGAGCAGGTGTGTCACCTGCTTCCTAAGTCTTACTGGTTTCATCACCAATATGGAGATGGAAATACCTGCTTCATGGGATAATACAAGAGAGGCTTACATAAGTACCTAGAACATAAGGTCACAGAGTCTGAATCAATATGCTCTATTTCCACACTACTTAAAAACAGCAAGTTACCTATTTTTCCAAAGACACAAACTAGTTTATGTTTGTCTCTTGGTGCAGAGAGCTTGTTGGCAATGTAGTGTTATCAATAACATCATTAAACTAAGGACTGGATTATTAGAAAAGAGGTCATCAATAACTAAAAATCATGTTACTGAGATGCCTTTTCAAACAATCTAGACATAAACAAGATGTACGGCTTTAGTCAGTAGCATGCTTGATTCAAATAACACCAAATTAGAATCACTTTAAATGGTATATCAGAAAAAGCTGGATAATCCTTTGCAATTAATTAAAGTCAATTCTGAATGCTAATATACACACACTAGGGAACATCCTGATTGGGTCTGGTGGGAAGTATCCTCAGTCTGCTACCTGGATCACTGCACACCTGCCATTGCATACCTCACCCCATCTTACTACAGGGCAGAGATGGGGTTCACAGTCAGTGGGATAGAGAGGTATGGGCATCCTATGGCCTCACAGGGTTAAAGAGGGCAAACCAGCTTTTCCTTTTGGACTTTCACAATACTATTTAGTTTATAAGCACATTTGTTGGTCCTAACTCGAGTTTCTTGAGATGGGGAATTGGCTGTCTTGTTCTGTGTTCCATCCCTCGCAACCCTAAGGGACTAGCACACAGCAGGTCAGTGAGTACCTGGTGAGAGTATAAATGAATGACCTCATCAGGTACTCTCAGTGATCTTATGAGAGAGGCAGAATGGTTTTGTTAGTCCTTGTTACAACTGAGCAAACTGAGGTTCATAAAAATTGGCCATATGACCAATGAACGGTACAACATAGAAAAGTGCGGGCCTGTTAATTCCAAGTTCACACATTACTGCTTTCAAAAAGTCCCAAGCAGGAGATTAGAAACCATGCAAGTATTCATAGTGGGGGATACTCAGAGAAGTTGTTGACTGAGTAATGGAAGAAACTTTAAAGAAGTGAGATAATTCAGAAAACAATAAAGAGACACTATCTTTGCAGGCTGGATGAAGAGAGAGATGGGGTAATATTCTCAGAACTCTAGAGTTGGAACAACTTTCTGGGACTGCAGCCACCACAGGTCTCTTTTGCAGGAGTTTGATAGAGGGAACAGAGTCCCTGGTTGCAAAGAAGTCATCTTGCAGAGAACAGCTCCTTGCAATGCAACATCAACTGGAAGTCAGGGATGGGCCCAGCTATGGGCAAATAGGCCCTGGACTGGTGTAAGATACCATTCATATGATTAATTCAGAATCAATCACAAATATCAACAGGCAGCAGGTACCATACTTGGATAATGCATTATACTGGATACCCCTTTTCTAATTCTCCAAAGAGGAAATGTTTCAGTGGAAGCCACTAGAAGGGAGGAGTAGGTAAGTGGTAGATAACTCTAAATGGGTATGTGATAGAGATGTGGGACACCGGGTGAGGAGAGTCTGAATTCATTACAGTCCCCAGTACTAGATACACCATCTCATTCACTTTTACCTAGAAGTAGCTCTTCACCTTATCATGGTTACAGTGATGTGTGACTATGATTCTGATTTCACAGGTAAAGGAACTCAGGTTCACAGAAGTCAAGCACTTTCACAAATTATATAGTTCCTCTCTAAGTTTCATCCTGTTCAGCTCTACCAACAGGACACACTGTCCTGAGGAATTCCAAGCATCTCATATGTAACTACTGTTGGAGTCTGTGCAAGTGAGTGGTCCCCACCCATCAGTACTCAAGAGAAGGAGACTTCCTGTGGACGACCATTCAGTAAGAGTGCAACCTGATTTTGAACCAAGGCTATCAAATCCTGGTACTAGCAGTTACAACATCTGTAAGCCTCAGAAAAGGGAAATGTATATTATGTTTTCATCCAATGCTGTTATTAATGACTTACTGGTTAAAAATCTCTTTTACTTATGAGACTGATAAATTGCCTGCTATGCTAAAGAGGCAGATCAAAATCTCCTTTAGTTACTGAGTTATGCTTGCCTGAAGACCATAGCAGAGTTAACAGAAATTCTGTTTTAAAATGTTGAAAATGGATATATATATACATATATATATGAAAGCAAGAATCATTAGAAACAAAAGAAACTTACTATTTCTAGTCAAATGTCCTTAAAGATTATATGTGTCTACTAATATCTCCATTTATTTAATAAGAATACACTTTTTGAATAACTACTATGTGCCTACTAGTTGAAGGGACTAAGAAAGGGTTCCGGCAGGTGAGTTTCATGCTTAAGCAGTTGGAGCAATTTAATCAAGGAGATGAATCATGAATAGAAGTGAAATATCAAGGCCTCCAAAGTGAGGAATAAAGAGCTTTGCGTGGTGAAATGAGACTGAGGAATTAAAAGTGAGGAAGGTTTCACCCATGGGCATCAAGGAAGTCTTTCTCTTAGAGGACACTGTGGGAGCAGGGATCCTGAAAGAGCTAACACACTACAGGAAGGTAGAGTGGGGGGAGGATTGTGGAAGAATCTTTTGTCCTGGGATCACTAATTGTGAGGGGAAGAGTAACAAGAAGGGGAAGAGGTGAAATCTGAATAAGAGCAGAGTGTCCTTTATTCCACATTACGGCACCAAGACTCAAGTACCTAGGAAATTGAGAATTTCAACAGTGAAATATTACATACACAACAGTGGAAAAAACCAAAACACCACCAAATACTTGCCAATATTTGTAACAGGCACTCACTCATTGTTTTTGGAAACACACAATGGTGCAGCCACTTGGAAGATAGCAAGGCCATTTCCTATAAAATGAAGAATCCATTCACCATGTGATTTAGTAATTGCACTCTTTGGTATTTACCCAATGTATCACAATCTTATGTCTATGTTAAAAACTGTACGTAAATGTTTATAGCAGTTTAGTCATGATTGTAAAAACTTGGAAACAACCAAAAATAAATAAAGGGTGATATAGCTATATACTGGAATATTATTCAGTGATAAAGAGAAATGAACTTACATGCTATAAAAGGCATGAAAGAAACTTAAATACTATTGCTAAGTAGTGGAAGCCAATCTGGAAAGGCTATGTTGAATGTTGATTCTACATATGGTTCTAACTATATAATGCTCCGAAAGAGGAAAAACCATGGAGTCTATAACCTCAGTGGTCAGCAGAGGCTTAGAAGAGGGGGAAGGAGTGTTAAATAGGTTGAATAAGGGGGGATGTTTAGGACAAGGAAACTATTCTATAAAAATACTGTAATTGGAATATATGCACTTTCCAGTTCTACAGAACTGAACAACATACAACATGAGCCCTAATGCAAACTATGGACTGGAACTAATAATAATGGACCAATATTAGTCTATCAACAACAACAAATCTTCTTCACTCATGTGAAGTGTTGATGAAAGGGGAAATAATACGTAAGTGGTGCAGAATTCTGTACTTGCCACTCAGACTCTCTATAAGACTAAAATTTCTCTGAAAGAAATAAAGGATAGTGCCTGGCATACAGCAGGGACTCAATAAATGGAGGCTTGGGGCTGGACTACACAGTGGGGTGACAGTAGAGACACCTAGAAAGCTGATGTTCCCCATTTGTCCATCTGCCCCAAGATGAATCTGTTTATCTGCAGAGACAAGAGTAATGTATGCTTTCCTTGAAGGACAGAATTCTGATACAGGTCTTCCAGAAAAGCAATACAAAGAGTGGCAGTGTCCTCATGGTTTATTTATCTGTTCTGGGAAATGCTAATATTATTCTATGTCCCTTTCTTCTTCTAACTTTATGTAATTAGAAAGATAAAAATTGTGTTTACCCGCATGCACATGGAGAAAGATGGGGCAGCCAACGATAGCAAGGAGCTTATACAAGGTAATTTACAAGCAGCCCAGAATGTTCATTATGCTCTATCTACATTTTGCAAGCTTGAAAAACAGCTAATTTGGCATGCAGTGTTTGAGAGTCAAGACAAAGAGGAGAGTTATGAAGAGTCATGTGGAGGAGGAGAAGTTCCCAGACTGAAGTATGATATAGGGGCAGGAGCCTGGATTCCCTGGATTCCTCCAGGAGGTGGTTATTGGGAAAGAAGTAGCCATGGGTAGATGGCAGAGTGGCTATGAAGGACTTGGAAATCTAAAGCTGTCCTACTAACATAGATGCAGGGGCAAGGGGGCATCACCTCTGTCATCAATCTATCTGTTCTTTATGACTTCTGAGTGTGGACCAACAGTATGCTTCTAAATGTTTTACAAACAGCTCTCTAAAAGGGGAAAACGTCTGATATGTCACTGATATCTGTGATGTAAATATTCCCACCATCACTGACTTCAAATTACAGATATACTAAAATTATGCTGATAATATGTCTGCTTTTGTTCACTGACATGAATCAACTATAATACATCACTAACAGATGCTCTTATACCCCACAAAGCCATGCATACTCTGATTGCCTGGGAACCCACTGTCTTGCCATGTTCTCTTCTCCATACCCTTCCATGGTAACCTTGGCCTTAAGTTGTTCAAATATACTATGTTTGTTCTGCTCACAGAGCCTTTACATATGCTGAGGCACACGTTCATCTAAGATCATGCATCAGAACCATATTCTTGCTTTCCTCATGGCTGATCTCTTATTACACCTGGACTCCCAG